CCGCTGGGTTACAGGGTGTGTATTTTCTGGGCAGAAGCCCACACTCCGGGGCTTTCTGCAGTCGGAGGGCTGTTTTTCGTGCTCTCTGTGCCTTCGATAAGTGTGTCGTGGTCTCTTACTCAGGCTCAGAGCACCTGCCTTCTCTCCTGCTGGCCCGGACGCTATCATTGGGGCTAATATACAAGTAAACAGGCTAAAAAAAAATAAAATAAAAGCAAACAGGCTAGCCCCGGCCTGTGTGGCTCAGTGGATAGGGCGTCGGCCTGCAGACTGAAGGGTCCCGGGTTCGGTTCCGGTCAAGGGCACAGGCCCGGGTTGAGGGCTCGGTCCCCAGTGGGGGGCGTGCGGGAGGCGGCCGATCCATGGTTCTCTCTCATCATGGATGTTTCTCTCTCTCTCTCTCCCTCTCCCTTCCTCTCTGACATCAATCAAAATATATTTTAAGAAGGAAAAAATAAAAAATAAAATAGAAGTAAACAGGCTGGCCCCGGCCGGCGTGGCTCCGTGGTTGAGCGTCGACCTCGGGACCAGGAGGTCAGGGTTCGATTCCCGGTCAAGGGCACAGGCCCGGGTGGCGGGCTCCATCCCCAGTGGGGGGCGTGCAGGAGGCGGCCGATCGATGTTTCTCTTTCACATCAATATTCCTCTCTGTCTCCCTCTCCGTTCCTCTCTCTCTCCAAAATCAATAAAAACATGTTTTTTAAAAAGCAAATAGTCTGAAAGGGCGGGGGGTGCAAACACATGTCACACCCCGGTTCACCCCTGTTCCTCAGGGTTACACACCCTTGAGTGGTGCCAGCTGTGTCCCCGATGGCGGGGTCTGCCAGGTGCCTCCGAGCGAGGCGTCGCTGACACATGAATAAGTGTCCTGTTTAGGGGCCCGGCCGGCTGGTCCTCGGGGTTCTGATGCCACAGCCACGTCCCCCCGCCCCCGCCCCCAAAACAGGCTGCTGTTCCTGAAGCTGACGGCCCAGAACGAGAGGGAGAAGTTTGCCTTCTGCTCGGTGAAGGGCTGCGAGAGGATCAAGATCAAGGCTCTGATCCCCCGGAACGCGGGCGTCAGCGACTGCACGGCCACCGCCTACCCCCGCTTCGCCGAGAGGGCCACGGTGGACGTGCCCATGCCCCGGAAGCTGGTCGGGGCACAGCTGGTGAGTGGCAGGCAGCCAGCCCTGCCCCTTGGCCTTCAGCCTGGCCTCCGGCCCGGCTCCCCGGGGGGTGGGGGGTGCAGGAGGGCCATGGCCACTCCCTGGGCCGCACACCTGACCCCCCCGGGCCTGTGTGTTCTAGAAAACAAAGGACCACTTCTTGGAGGTGAAGCTGGAAAGTTTCAAGCAGCGATTCCTGCACCTTCTCAATGACCTCGCTTACATCGAGGTAGGTGACCGGCCCTGGGGGGCGGGGGGGATGGGCTCCCCCCTCCCCCCCTCCCCCCTTCCCTGGGCAGTGGCTTCCTCGGGCCACTGTCCTCACACACTCGTGGCTCCAGGCGACAGGGATCTCTCCCCCTCTCAGTTCCAGAGGCCGAAAGTCCAAAGAGAAAGTCTTTGGCCCTGGCTGGTGTGGCTCAGTGGCTAGAGCGCCGGCCTGCAGACCAAAGGGTCCCGGGTTCTATTCCGCTCGAGGGCACGTGCCTCTGTTACAGAACTTACCGGGCACCTGAGAAATACACAGGAAAACCCCTTTATTTTCAGACGTTTCGTGGGTATTAGTACAGTGTCTCGGGGAAGACGGTTTCTCTCCAAATCCTGAGCATAACCAATATGGAGGAGGCGCTCCCTTTATACCCTTTTGGTTTCTTTGTCCCCCAAATATGGGTGGGACTTCCGGACCTTTCTCGGGCGTTGCAAAAAGCCCCGTGTGCTGGGACGGGGGCCGTGAGACCACATCTAAAGGTCTGGCCTGGTGCCAGCGCTAATGACCCTGTCGGGGGCGTTGTGTATGGTCCATAGTCTATGGCAGGGGTGGGCAAACTTTTTGACTCGAGGGCCACAATGGGTTCTTAAACTGGACCGGAGGGCCGGAACAAAAGCATGGATGGAGTGTGTGTGTGAACTAATATAAATTCAGAGTAAACATCATTACACAAAAGGGTACAGTCTTTTTTTTCAATAGTTTTATTCATTTCAAACGGGCTGGATCTGGCCCGCGGGCCGTAGTTTGCCCACGGCTGGTCTGTGGCCTCTGTAAAATGGGGGTAGTGCTTAGGTAAACCGGTCTTACAAGACCAGATACTTAAAGAAGGGGCAGTGACTAGAGCGATGGCGAACCTTTTGAGCTCGGCGTGCCAGCATTTTGAAAAACCCTAACTGAACTCTGGTGCCGTGTCACACATAGAAATTTTTTGATCTTTGCAACCAGAGTAAAACAAAGACATATTTTTTTGATATTTATTTTATATATTTAAATGCCATTGAACAAAGAAAAATCAACCAAAAAAATGAGTTTGCGTGTCATAGGTTCGCCATCACTGT